TGTACGCCCATCCGACGACCCAGACGCGCGAAGAGTGGGCGCCGTGGGCGTAGAGAGAGGGAGGAAGGTCAAGTTAGTGAAGGATGTCCGGGGTTGGGATTTTTGTCTCTTGTCTCTCTTTCTCTCTCTCTCTCTCTCTCTCTCTCTCTCTCTCTCTCTCTCTCTCTCTCTCTCTCTCTCTCTCTCTCTCTCTCTCTCTCTCTCTCTCTCTCTCTGGCTCGCTGTCTTTCTTTTTTCTTTCTCTCTTTCTTTCTCATTCTCTTTCTCTTTCTTTCTCTCTTCTCTCTCTCTCATCTCTCTCTCTCTCTCTCTCTCTCTCTCTCTCTCTCTCTCTCTCTCTCTCTCTCTCTCTCTCTCTCTCTCTCTCTCTCTCTCTCTCTCTCTCTCTCTCTCTCTCTCTCTCTCTCTCTCTCTCTCTCTCTCTCTCTCTCTCTCTCTCTCTCTCTCTCTCTCTCTCTCTCTCTCGTCGTTAGGATGCTCGTAGTGGGCACTGGCGGCGGGGGGGAGGGGGGGGGCGTGGGAGGGAGGGGGTGGAGGGACGAGGTCGGAGGAAGGGGTGGGGGGGGGGGGGGTGGGGGCGTGCCACATATAAGCGTGGGGGGAAGGGGGAAGGGGGGGAGGGGGAAGGGGTAAGAGATGTGTGAATTGTTGGGTTTTTGACAATTTGGTCTATATTTTGTTATTATTGTTATTGTTTTTATTATTATTATAATCTTTGTTATTATTATTATTTATTATATTATTATTATATATTTTTTTTTTATTATTATTATTATCATCATCATCATTACTATTATGACTACTATTACCATGCATATTTAGTGATGCAATCTCGGAGAAGGAAATTTGCGGAATAAAGAATTGCTCGCCATTGCTTGCTTTTTCGCTCGTCCGTTTGCGTTGCCCGAGGGCGAACACGTGCATCGAGGCAACAGCTGATGTTTTGCAATTTGTTTTTTCTTATACAGCTAGAAATAAGAGACAGAAATATCGGATTCCTCAGTTACAGGGATATTTCGTGCGTTGATAAAGCGAGTGCGAGGGCATGGAAAGCCTCAGTTGAGAAGATGGCCGAACACATCGGCGTGTTCGAACGCGTGCTCTCCTCCGGCGATGGCGTCACCTGAGCAATGATTCTGATCGCGCCCGCGGACACGAACGCGCCCACGTGAAGGAGCTTCGTGTCGGAACATTTCCAAACAAGACTTTGTATTTTGAAAGAGGAAAAGAAAGTTGCCGCCGAGATGCAGAAGCGGCGGCGCGTGAGCGACACGGTGCTGGGCGGCGTGCTGCCGGCGCTGGGCCTCAAGCACCAGCAGGGCATCCAGACGCGCGGCGGCCACCTGGGCTCCGGCTCCACGCTCACGGCGCCCAACCCCTGGGCCGTCATCAACTTCGAGATCTTCTGGGTCATGCTCAGCCCCAAGGGCTCCTGCGGGGGCTCCTGCGGCGGCGGCTGCGGCGGGCCGCGGCCGCCCTGCTGCTGCTGCTGCGCCTCCTCGGGCAGGCACGCCCCGACGCTGCCCTCTACCTCGGCGTGCCCTTCGGCGGCCTCGGCATCGTGCGGGTGTCAGAGGAGCCCGTGTCGCGGCGCAGCGGCGGCGGCCTGCCACGGGGGCGCGCCAACAGGCCCCGGGGGCCAGGGCTCCGCCACTGGATTCTCGGGCTTGGCAAATGAGCGCGGGTGTCCGGGCGACGCCGCCTACCCCGCCCAACGGCAGTTTGGCACCGCTTGCACTCGCTGCCGCACGCCCGCGCAGGCCTCCCAGTGCCAGCACACTGCGCCCTGTCACTGCAGCTGCCCGCCGCCGCCGCCCGCCGCCGCCGCCAAGCAGGAGAAAGTGCGCAAGCTGAGTCGCGACAGCGGCGTCGGCGAGGAGAGGGACGATGGGCCGCCCGAGCAGGCCGAGGGCAGGCCGGCCGGCGCGTCGCACGGACAAGGCTGCTGCTGCTGCCGCTGCTCGTGCCGCTGCTGTGGGCCGCGGGGCCTCGCCTGCTCCGCCGCGCGCCTTCCCGTCGAGGCGCTGAAGGAGGTACGTTGCCTGCGGGGCGGGCGGCGCTGGGGGGCGGGGGTGGGGCGTGAAGTGCCGTCCACTCGTGACCGCCCACCCCGGACCGCGAGGGGGGGGGGGGGGGTGAGCTCAGCCCGAACACCCCGTGACCTGTGGTGGGCGTGTGTGGGCGCACGCACGGGTGGGGTTAGCACGGCCGAAGGGGGGTGGGGTTGTGCGAAAGAAGCATCCTCCACGCGCTCAACACACACACACACACACACACACGCACACACACACACACACACACACACACACACACACACACACCACACACACACACACACACACACACACACACACACACACACACACACACACACATACTCTCTCGCACACGCACGCAAAACCCCCCACCCTTGTTGCGCCTTCAGTGCTGCAGCCCTCGTGACGGCGGCCGGAGGAGGAGTCCCCGCCAAATAGTAGCCCTGGCAGCCTCGCTCTGTCGTCTGCCAAGGTGACTCGCCCTCCGCCGCCCCCCCCCCTCGCCGCCGCTCCGTTCCGTTCCTGGTGTTCGAGCGTTCCGAACGGGTCGGGGGGGGGGACGGGGAGGGGGGGGACGGGGGGGACGGGGCGAATGGGGGAACGGGTGGACGGGAACGGGGGAACGGAAAGGGAGGGTGGGGGAACGGGGAAACGGGGAACGGGGGGAACGGGGTAACGGAAGGGGAGGTTGGGGAGGGAGGGGACGGGGTGAACGGAAGGGGAGGGTGGGGGAACGCGGGGAACGGAAGGGAGGGTGGAGGAGGGGGAGGGAGAGGGGGAAGCCATGATACGAAGAAGGGGGGGAAAGTATTAAGGCTTGATATTTGCGTTTGTGTGAAAGATATTGTATAGAAAAAAATGAGATATGTTTAAGAGAAAGAAAAAAAAGAGGTTTTCTTATAAATTTAGCATCGTCTTCCGGGTCTGTCGAAATGTCTTGTCGTTTATTATTACCGTTTTTCCTCTGATTCTCCGTCTTGTCGTTTATTATTAGATTCTCCGTCTTGTCGTTTATTATTATGATTTTATTACCGTAGCTGAGTCTCCGTCTTGTCGTTTATTATTACCGTTTTTCCTTCTGATTCTCCGTCGTAGGCAGTTTTCAAGATGCTCGGGAGGTCCTGTTGCCTCACCTCATGTATTCGCGGATCGCTCTCGACTCTCTTATGTAAATGGAGGTGTGTCTTTCATTATTCATCGGCGTTTCGGTTGCGCCATTGGGGTCTGTCTGAGGGGAATTAATGGAATGGGTTCTCCTCGTCGTCCTCCTCGTCCTCCTCGTGCTGGCCAGGATCGGGTTGGGGCCGGTTCGGGGATTTTTTTTTTTTTTTTCGTTTTTTTAGGGTTTTTGAGTTTTGTTGTTGTTGTTGTTTTAGTTTTTGTTGTTGTTTTGTTTTGTTGTTTTTAGTTTTGTTTGTTGTTGTTGTTTTAGTTGTTGTTTCTTTTTTAGTTTTGTTTTGTTGTTTTTGTTTTGTTGTTGTTGTTTTTAGTTTTGTTGTTGTTTTGTTTTGTTGTTTTAGTTTTGTTGTTGTTTTTAGTTTTTGTTTTTAGTTGTTGTTGTTTTTAGTTTTGTTGTTTTTAGGTTTTTAGTTTTGTTTTGTTGTTTTTAGTTTTGTTGTTTTTAGTTTTGTTGTTTTTGTTTTTATTTGTTTTTTTGTTGTTTTTAGGTTTTAGTTTTGTTTTGTTTTTTTTAGTTTTTAGTTTTGTTTTTTAGTTTTGTTGTTTTTAGTTTTTTTGTTTTTTAGTTTTGTTGTTGTTGTTTTTTTTTAGTTGTTGTTGTTTTAGTTTTGTTGTTTTTAGTTTTGTTTGTTGTTTTTAGTTTTTGTTGTTTTTTTTTTGTTTTGTTTTGTTGTTTTTAGTTTTGTTGTTTTTAGTTTTGTTGTTTTTAGTTTTGTTGTTTTTTTTTTTTGTTTTGTTTTTTAGTTTGTTGTTTTTAGTTTTGTTGTTTTTAGTTTTTGTTTTTAGTTTTTAGTTTTGTTTTGTTGTTTTTAGTTTTGTTGTTTTTAGTTTTGTTGTTTTTAGGTTTTTAGTTTTGTTTTGTTGTTTTTAGTTTTTGTTGTTGTTTTTAGGTTTTGGGTATATTAGTTGTTTTTTGCATTTTTAGTTGTTTTTAGTTTTGGTATTTTAGTTGTTTTTTGCAATTTTAGTTGTTGTTTTTGTTGTTTATTTAGCATTTTCAGTTGTTGTTTTTAGTTTTTCTGGTGTAATTTGTAGAGATTTTGATTATTATCATTATTGCAATGGTCGTCAGTTGATTAGTTTTATGATTTTATATTATCATTATTGTTTTTAAGTGTTTGAATAAGAATTATCAATAGGTATAAATAATAAATTGTAAAGGAATAAGTATAAATATAAAGTAGGATAAATCAACATCATCACAATAACCATCGTCATCACCATCATTATCATCACATTTTCAACATCTGCAACCCTAAGGCCTCAGCAAATCGTGCCATGAGGTCACGTGTGCCACATACACTGACCTTAACCCTTTGTCTCACGTTCAGGCCCTCCCCATGGTCCAAATCGGTCATTTAGATTTCTTCTTTTTTTTCTCTTCTTTCTTTCTGTTTCTTCTTTCCCGTTTCATAAATCCCGTGATTTATTTTGAGAGAGGAAGAAGAATGTTCAGGTTCAGTTATGGTTGTCTCGGAGTAAATGTTTTTTTTTTTTTTTTCCTTTAAATTTCATGTTGTACGATTTTTTTTTTTAGCCATAGCCACATCCCAAGGCCGACCAAACCAGTCAGTGACACCCCCCCCACCACACCACCACCACCCATCAAATAAATCAACTACCACCATCAAATAAATCCTTTTAATTAAAACTTCAAAAATAACAACAGCATTGACACTTCACCAACAATAACTTCACTCTCATACCACTCCATGGCGCCAGCTGCATCCACAACAGCTGATTCCAAGTCGTCCGTCCATCTCACGCTCTTCCTCGTACCCACAGGAGGCGCGGCAGCTCCGGGCGGGGGACGTGACCCACCGCGAGGGCTCCCAGGTCAAGGGGGCGACCATGCGGGTGGCAGGCGAGGGCTTCTCAGCGCACAAATCAGCTGTCAGCGAACAGCAGCAGCGTCAGACCAAGACGCCAGCGGGAACCATCAACCAGGAGTCGTCCCGTCAGGCAGCCTCTTCAGGGATCACCATCAAGACGAAGGGCGTGTGCACCAAGCAGACCTCGTCTATGACTGCATCACAGGTGGGTAGAAGGGGAAATGAAGAACTTTTCTCATTGGGCTTTATACTGGTCAGATCAATTCATTTTGGATTTTGTTTCTATTAATGTATTTATGTTTTAACCAAATTTCTGTTTTCTTTCCTTTCAGAGCAATGTCAGTATAACCGGATTTGAAGACTTGGACCTCTTAAATGATGCCTCACAACCAGTCGACATCCAGAATGCCATCATGCGTTATTCTGGAGTCATGTCAAACTTCGTTGAGCAGCTGAAAACTATGACCTTTAGCGAGGGCTTCAAGGATGCTCCTTCCCTTCTGGATAACATAGATGAAATGATCCGGAAGGCTTGGTCAGTCCCCACACATGGCCATGAGTTGGGATTCTCCCTCTGCAATGTCCTCAGAAATAATGGCGGCATTGATGTGCTGCTCAAAAACTGCACCTCCGATGACTCTGACCTGAAGTTCTCCAGCGCCAAGGTCCTTGAGCAGTGCCTCACCACAGAAAACAGAGGCTATGTTGTTGAAAATGGCCTGGAGGATGTTGTCAATGTCGCCTGCGACTGCACAAAGAATGGAACCTCCGTAGACAAGTCACGTGTCGGGACAGGCATCTTGGAACACCTGTTCAAGCACAGTGAGGGAACCTGCTCAGAAATCATCAACTTGGGTGGTCTCGATGCAGTGCTGTCAGAATGCAGGAAGTCAGATGTGGAAACCCTACGTCACTGTGCCGGGGCTTTGGCCAACTTGTCCCTCTATGGTGGCTCAGACAACCAACAGCAGATGATACGCCGCAATGTCCCCATGTGGCTATTCCCCTTGGCTTTCCACACAGATGACAATATCAAGTACTATGCCTGCCTTGCCATAGCTACTCTGGTTGCCAACAAGGAGCTAGAAGCAGCTGTGTTACAGTCAGGAACTCTCGACCTTGTAGAACCTTTTGTGATGAACCAGATGCCAGACCAATTTGCCAACTCGACTGTTGCTCACCGCCATGGACAGAGCTCAAATTGGTTAAAGAGGCTCGTTCCAGTTCTCAGCAGTAAGAGGGAGGAAGCACGGAACCTTGCTGCTTTCCACTTCTGTATGGAAGCTGGTATCAAGAAGCGACAGGGCAATCTCGAACTCTTTAGAGAAATAGGTGCCATTGAGCCACTCAAGGAAGTAGCCAGTTCTCCCAATGCTATAGCCAGTAAATATGCAGTGAAAGCCCTCAAACTAATAGGGGAGGAAGTGCCACACATCCTTAGCCAACAGGTGCCACTGTGGACGCCAGAAGATGTACAAAATTGGGTCAAAAGAATTGGATTCTCTGAGTTTGCTGACGACTTTGTTGCTTCTCGAGTAGATGGTGATCTCCTTTTGCAAATGACGGAACAGAACTTATGTGAAGACATTGGTATGAAAAACGGCATTCTCAGACAAAGATTTCTGCGTGAGCTTAAAAAATTAAAGCTGATGGCAGATTTCTCTTCCTGTGACTCCACAAAGCTCAATGAATTTATGTTACAAGTTGATCCTGACTTTGCAGTTTATACCTACAGTATGCTGAATGCTGGCGTTACTCGAGATTGCTTAAGGTGAGGGACTATTATGTAGATTCTTTTGTTTATGAAATATTTATTAATTATGTTACCTTCATACCTTTTAAAAGAACAGTACCTTGAGATTTGTTACTTAAAATGTCTTTTGACCTTTACAGATATCTCACAGAAGAGCAGCTAATTTCAGAGTGTCGCATCTATAACTCAATTCATCGGCAAAAAGTTAGAGAAAAAATTAGAGAATATTGTAAGTGAATTTCTTATTCAAAGTTGTTGATATTGCTGTTGTGCTATATTACATTTAGTGCCTAAGATCACTTCTTGTAAAAATAAAGAGCTTTTTTATTAAAATCTGTACAGATTGATTAAATTACTTGAGTTTGATTTCTAGATTTTCAGTGTATATTAAACCAGCTTGAATCAATATGCAGGCAGTAACAAACGCCATATTGAATTTAACATATATTTAATTTATCCTCAGATGCTGTTGGTCAGATTTCTAATGGTGATCCTGTAGACAAGAATCTAGACGTTTTTATCAGCTATCGACGTTCCAATGGCTCACAGCTAGCAAGGTATGATTCCTTTTCTTGGCTTTCCGTACTTTAGAGTTGTGAATATTTATGAAGCTTACAGTTATGGACAATGAAGATTTTTTTCTCTCTCTTGTTATTTTGCTAATGATTGTTTTGTGAAGATTTTTTTCTCTCTTTTGTTATTTTGTTAATGATTGTTTTGTCTTTTACAGCTTATTAAAGGTCCACATGCAGCTCAAAGAATTCTCAGTATTTATTGATGTGGAGAGATTAGAAGCAGGAAAATTCGACAATAATTTGTTAAACTCCATTCGGCAAGCAAAGAACTTTTTACTAGTTTTAACACCCAACGCCCTGGATAGATGTATAGGGGATACAGAATGCAAGGATTGGGTACACAGGGTATGTATGAGTGATAATGTTTCATGTGAAAAAGTCATATTTATTTTATCATCCTTTTTTTCTCTTTTCATGCTGACTTCCTCGTGTTTTAAGATATTTAATGCTAACTTAAAAAATTTTAATGCTGGTATAATTTATTTGCACATTTTCTATAAATGTGGATTAAAAAGAATACAAATATTTCATGTATGACGGCAAGAAAACTGATTTTGAATTCTCTTTCAGGAAATCGTTGCAGCTCTCCAGTCTGGGTGTAATATTATTCCTATCCTCGACAACTTCCAGTGGCCTGACCCTGAAGAACTCCCAGAAGATATGCGTGCTGTGTGTTACTTCAATGGCGTTAGGTGCGTTTCACTGAGTACTTCTTCAGTGTGGACTTATGACAAAGAGATGGCTTTGCTTTGAAATTCTTGTTGAATATCTGTTATAGATTTTAGTATGATTTTTCTCTACATTTTCTCAGAATCTATGGGGTAAAAACCTTGGTAGGAATATTAGAGCTTGTTAGATATTTATACTTTTTCCATGTCAGTTCATAGGGTTTATAATCAATAGTGCTTTATGAGAGGTAACAAAGATATGAATATTATTACAGATTTTTCAATTAATTGTTCCAGTTTTCTTAACGAATCTTTTGGATTTGATAGAAGAGACTAAATATGAAATGCTTTTGCAGATGGATCCACGATTACCAAGATGCCTGTGTGGACAAGATCGAGAGGTTCATCAGAGGCGAGTGCAACATGCCCGGAGATGGCCCACTAGCACGTTATGTTAGTGGCAGCGCACTAGGAGGCATGGCCACCCCAGGAACGCCATCGACTCTTCCAAGAGCTCCACCTCCGTACCAGCGCACCACAAGCACAGAAAGCGGGAAGGGCTCCTCGTGTTCCGACAAAGACTTTGCCAAGGACTGACGGGGCGACCCTGCACTGGTTAAACATAGAAGGTATTGATGCTCTCTCGTCTCATCTCTCTCTCTCTCTCTCTCTCTCTCTCTCTCTCTCTCTCTCTCTCTCTCTCTCTCTCTCTCTCTCTCTCTCTCTCTCTCTCTCTCTCTCTCTCTCTCTCTCTCTCTCTCTCTCTCTCATTAACTTGTTTCTCTCTTTCTTTCATCTTCTTTGTGATTTAGACACTTTATAGTGGTTTTAGTTTTTTGTGAAATTATGTCACAGAGTATGGTTTCTTGTCAAAATTTAGTGATTTTCTTTTTTTAAAGTATAATTTTATCTTTCCAGATTATTAACCACAAGTAGCCCACGATCTGCCTCACCTCTAAGGCTTTGCGGTAGAGCAGCCAGTCCTGTCCCACGGCTCCCCGTTCGTGGCTCAGCCAGTAGGGGACTTGGGGCCGGCTCTCCCCTCCTCCCACGCCCAATGCGCCGATCACTTCCGCCTTCACGCTCTCTTAGTCTCGACACAGGCTTAGATTCTAACACCGTAGCTGCACGTGATTCAGAGACCGCAACTGATGTCGTATCATCCTGTGAACAATACTTGCAACAGCAACAGCAACCAGGACAGCAGGAAGCACAACAGCAGCAGCAGCAAAGTGGGGAGCTGCGACCTCCAAGGCGG